GCTTGGAAGAGAGAGGAAAAGGAACATAGACAGTTATATAAAGAAATAGAAAGTTTAGATGGATATCACACAACACCTTCCCACCAGGCAAAGCAGCGGTGGCACACGCCTTTAATCTCAGCACTCAGGAGGCAGAGGCAGGCAGATCTCTGTGAGTTTGAGGCCAGCCTGGTCTAGAGAGTGAGTTCCAAGAGAAATAGAGAAAACTTGTCTCAAAAGAAAAACCAAAAACTTGGCCACAGTGATGCATGCTTATACTATCAGCGCTGAGAAGGCAGAGATGGGGCCTCCCCGAGGTTTGCTGACCAGCCAGACTAGGCTAGTCAGAGAGCCTCAGGTCCCAATGAGAGACCTTGTCTCAAAAAATAAGGTGGATGTTACTTCTGAGAAATAACGCTTAAAGTTGCCCTCTGAACTCCACATGCAAGTGTACATACATACACTGCACATCTGCAAACACACACACTAAAAATACAATGGCAAAATACACCCCCTTTACTCTGCTTGAAAATGTGTTTTATATTCTCTGGTTCCTAGAAGAGGAATTGTAGGCTGTATAAAAAAATACATATTTGGTTTTTTTTTTTTTATGTTTTAAGGTTTTGAGACAGGGTTTCATGTAGCCCAGAGTGGCTTCAAACTCTCTGTGTAGCCTAGGGTAATCATGAACTCCTGCTCCTGTTTCTGTCTCCCACTGGGATTCCAGGTGTGTCCTACACAGCCATTTATATTTATTTAGCTTTTTGAGAAACTAGCAAATTGTCTTCAATGGTAGCTGTACTATTACAACCACCAACAATGAGTAACATTTCTAATTTCTTCATACCATCTCCAGGATGCTTAGTGTTGTCAATTTGACAAAATCTAGAATCATCTTGGAGACAGGCCTCCAACTGCTTAATTGAAATAGGAAGACCTGCTGCCTACTGTGGGTGGCACCATTCCCCAGACGGACCCTGTACTCATCACGCTCTGCTTCCTGAGTGTGGACAGAGTATGACTAGCTGCTTCTTGGCCCCTTGACCCTCCCACCAGCCCTGACAGACTGTACCCTTCGATCATGAGCCCAAATAAACTTCCTTAAACTGATGTTTGTCAGAGGAGTTTTAATACATAAACAAGAAAAGAAATGAAGACGATCTCTAACACTTCTGATTTTCCACATTTTTATTTTGCTTATCGTAGGAGGCATCAAGCACCAGCTAACTGTCAGAGTTTTGTTGGCTGTGGTAGTGGTGGTGATATTGATTTAGTTGCCAACTGTAGTTTTGATGTACATTCCCTTAGTGACCAGTGAGGTTGAGTTTGTTTTCATGTGCCTGTTGGCCATTTATATATCTTCTTTGGAAGTATGCCTCTCCAAGTCCTTAGTCCATTTTTAATCTGCTTGTTGGAGTGTTGTTGTTTTCAATTTTAGGAGTTCTTCATATGCCCATATCAGATATATTTTAAGTATCGTCTCCCATCCTGAGCAGTATCTTCCCACCTAGGAACATCCTCTGCAGGACAGAAGCTCTGAATTTTGAGAAAGCCCATTTTGTGGGTTTTTGTTGTTGCTGTTGCTTATGCTTCTGGTATCATGTTTAAGAAATCATTCCCAAACCCAAGGACATGCATACTTCCTCATCATATTTTTCCTCTGTTTTTTTTTTTTACAGATTTGTCTCTGACACTGAGGTGTTTGGTGGACTCTGGATTAATTTTTCCATGTTATGTAAGATAAGGGCCCAGTTCATTCCCATGCTTGTGGGCATGCAGCTCCCAGCACCGCGTGTTAAAAGGGCTGTTCTTTATCCCACTGGATGGTCTTGGTTCTCTTGTCAAAAATCAACTGAAACCTGGGACTGTAAAAATAGCTTAGTGGTTAAGATTGAATACTGACCCTGTGGAAGACCCAGCACTCACTCGGGAAGTTCACAGCCACCTGTAACTCCAGCTCAAGGGTGAAGCAGGCTTTCTTTGCCTGCCAACCAGCTCCCAAATCATGGCATGAAGACTTCAGTCTTATCTTAGGCTTGTCCCACTGGCTCTTATAACTTAATTTAACCTGTTTCCCTTCATCTACATTTTGCCTCAGGGCTTTTTACCTTTCATTCTGTATGTCCTACTTTTCCTGCCTCTTCTATGTCGGGCTGGCTGGCAACCACTTAACTGGCTGACCCCAGGCATCCCCTTTTCTTTCTCCTTCATTTTCTCTTCTCCCAAGCCCAGATTCCTCCTCCTCCTTATTCTCTCTGCCTGCCAGCCCCACCTATCCCTCTGCTGCCTAACTATTGGCCGTTTAGCTTTTTATTAGACCAATCAGGTGCCTTAAGCAGGCAACACAACATGTCTTTACATCGTTAAACAAATGCAGCGTAAACAAATGTAACACGCCTTTAATCCCAGCACTTGGGAGGCAGAGCCAGGCGGATCTCTGTGAGTTGGAGGCAAGATCCAGGACAGACACCAAAGCTATACAGAGAAACCCTGCCTCACAAAAACAAAAAACAAACAAACAAAAAACAAAAACAAAAACAAACAAACAAACAAAAACACTGAGGCTGATGTGGTGGCACAAGCCCTTCCTCAAGCTGCTTGTGAAACTCAAACAGACTGCTTGAGCTTAGGAGGTTGAGGCTAGCCTAGGCAGCACAGTGAAATCTTGTATCAAAAAAAAAAAAAAATTAAATTAACCGAGTCTCTGGGAGTGTAGCTCAGTGGTGTTGTACCATATACATACATGCATCCCCATATATGTATATGTATGTATGCTTACATATATGTGTGTATATATATAGCTATACCTATACATAGATAGTTGATGTATGTATAGCTTTGTTTCTGAACTCTGAATTCTATTCCACTGATCTCTAAATGCCTATTGGCCTATCTCATTGCTCAGTATGCCAGAACCATGATATTTTGGTTGCTGTGGCTTTATAACAGGTTCTGAAATTGGGACCAGTAAGTCCCCAGTCTGCTTCCTCTTAAACATAGTTTTGACCAGTCTGTATTCCTGAAATTCTATATGAATTTTAAGTTGAGTCTTTCCATTTCTTCAAAGGGACTGCAATGGCTTGAATCTCCCAAATAATCACACAGAGACTTATTCTTTCTTATGAATAAATGCCCGGCCTTAGCTTGGCTTATCTCTAGCCAGCTTTTCTTGACTTAAATTATCCCATCTAACTTTTGCCTCTGGGCTTTTACCTTTTTCTGTTTCTGTATATCTTTTTTTCCTTCTTATTCCATGTCCAACTGTGTGGCTAGCCCCCTGACCATCCTTTTCTCCTCCTTTTCTCCCTCCTCTCTTTTACATTCTTCTCCTCCTATTTATTCTATCTGCCTGCCAGCCCCACCTGTCCTTTTTGCTACCTCACTATTGGCTGTTCAGCTCTTTATTAGACCAATCAGGTGTTTTAGACAGGCAAAGTAACACAGCTTCACAGAGTTAAACAAATGCAACATAAAAGAATGCAACACAGCTGGGCAGCAGTGGCGCACACCTTTTATCCCAGCACTCAGGAGGCAGAGTCAGGCAGATCTCTGTGAGTTCGAGGCCAGCCTGGTCTATAGAACGAGATTCAGGACAAGCACCAAAACTATACAGAGAAACCCTGTCTCAGAGAGAGAGAGAGAGAGAGAGAGAGAGAGAAAGAGAGAATGCAACACATCTTTGCATTATTAAACAAGTACTCCACAGCATAAAAGAATGTAGCACATCTTCAATTAATATTGCACAACATTTCTTCCCTTGAGTTGTCACAACAATAAGAAAAGCAACTAATGTTGAAAACCGTTACCAGGAGTGGGGTTTGTTGTCATAAATCTGACCATATGCCCCAAGGCCTTAGAACTGAGTACTGTAGAAATATCTGAAGATGTGTACTAGAGAAACCTTAGAATACTGTTAGCTCCACCACATGGGTGATTCTGGTGGGAGTTCAGAAAACCAAAATGCCTGTAGGAATGTAGACAGTAAAGAGCTTGCTCACAAGATCACAGAGAGGAAAGAAGAAACTGTTGGGGATTGAACTAGAAATCATTTGTGTAACATTGTGTGGAGGATGGGTTATCACAATGTTCTAAAATTGATTATGAGATGAGTGCACCCATCAGTGAATATACTAAGAACCACTAAACTGTATACATTAAAAGAGTGAATTGGAGGTATGTGAATTAGCACTCAATTTGGCTGTGGTTTTTAAAGCAAATTTTGGACCGGAAAGATGGCTCCATGGCTAAGAGTCTGTGATGCTCTTTCAGGGAATCCAAGTTCAGTGTCCAGTACCTGTGTTCAGTTTCGGGGGATCTAGTGCCCTCTTCTGGCCTCTGCAGGCACCACCACCACCACCACCACCACCACACACACACACACACACACACACACACACACACACACACACATACCATCTTTAATGTAAGTCTTTAACCCTGTCCTTGATTCATGGAGGTGTTTGATATACATGTGTTACCTTACAAGAGCTTCACCTGTGAATACCACAGCAATGGTGCGTCATGGCAGCACAGCTTTGATAAGAAGACACATAAGTTGGAGGTGTGCTCTGACCAGCCAAGCTCAGGTTTCCAGGCATACTCAAGCACTTCCTGGGCACTGGCTCTACAGAGGAAGGAGTGGCTGCTGAGGATTCAGCTATGTGTAACCTATGCACCTGCTCTCTCACATGATGGAAAGGAGTGTGTTCTTCCTGCTCCCTCTCATCTGCCCTCCCAGCATGCTCTGAGAAAACTGCATTTTTTCAGTAGTGATTCATTAACCATCCATGGTCATCACTATAACCACTGTTCTTGCGAGAAGTTACTTGTCCGCAGAACCCCGCACAGAACCATGATCCTGTCCTGCTTCCTGACCATGGATGGGGACCAGAGATGCTGTAGGACTGGGAATAGGAAGGCTTGTTCATGCCCACAGCTTACAAGAAACAGAAACCAGGGCCAACCCCAGGCTCTGCATCCTACCCAGTCCTCTTTCCCTGTAAATCACTGATGACTGGGATATTACCTTATTGGACTAAATAGAGCTCTGATACCCATGCACTTCTCAGTCTGAGGAATGAGAGGAGCACCAGAGAAGTGGTTAGAGCCTGGTTATTGAAGGATTACAAGAATAGGTGTACATAATATATATAGCCAGACATGGTAGAACATACTTGCAATCCCAGCACTCAGGATGCTGAAGTACGAAAGTCATGAGTCCAAAGTTAGACTGGGCTACCTAGAGTCTGAGATCAGCCCGTGATTATCTAGAAAGATGCTGTTTCACAACCAAAACAGAGGCCTAAGGATGTAACTCAGTAGGTAGAGTGCTTGCTTAGCAGGCACATGTCCTGATTGGATCCCCAACACTGCATAAACCGTGTTTGGTCATCCACACCTGTAATCCTAGCACTTGGGAAGTAGAAGCAAGGAGATCGTAAGTCCAAGAACATCCTCAGCTACCTAGGAAGTTCAAGGCCAGAGCTACATGAGACCCTGCCTCAAAGAAAAATTAATATGGATAACTTGCATCCAAGTATGTTGGGAGGGAAGGAAATCCGAGCTCATACGTCAAAATGGATGAACCTTGAGGACATGCTGAGTGAAATAAGACAATCAGAAAATGTTGGATGTGAGGGCTGGAGAGATGCTCAGCAGTTAAGAGCACCTGTTGCTCTTGCAGAGGACCCAGGCTTGGTTCCCAGCACCCACACAACAGCTCAGAACCATCTGTAACTCCAGTTCCATGGGATCCAAATTCCTCTTCTGGCCTCCAAGGCACTGCATATCTGTGGTGTGTATACATACATGAAAGCCAAACAGTCCTACACATGAAATAAAACAAATATTTTTTCTTTGAAAACTGAATGCTTGCTGTATGCAGTGGCATACATCTTTAATATCCCAGCACTCAGGAGGCAGAAGCTAATGGATCTCTGTGAGTTTGAGGCCAGCCTTGAAACACAGTGAGTTCAGGCCAACAAGGGCTACACAGTGAGACCCTGTCTCAAAAGTGGAATACTGCAGGATCCTGTTTACTTATGAGATCTAAAGTAGTTAAAATCATAGGTACTGAAATTAAAATGGTGGTTGCTGATAAACAGAAAGAGAGGTTATGTTTAGTTTCAGTTTCAGGAGAAGAAAGTGAATATATCTAATGCTGCTGGACTGTTCTTTTAAAGTGGTTAAGACAGTAAATGTTATGTGTTTCTGTTTTCTTTTGTTTTACCTCTTTTTGCAACACTAATTTTTTTTTTTTATTGATTCCAGGTGGTCCAGCAACATGTCTCAGTGCTTAAAAGCACTTGCAGAGTTGAATCGTGGGACTGCAGTTAAAGGAGAGAATTGACTAATTGAAGTTCTCCTCTGACCTCTATGTGTACTTCACACACTCACACACCACATCACAAATACAAAATAATAATAAATATTTTTAAATAAAGTATGTCTGGCACTTGGGACTGCGACAGTGACTTGTCATCCAGTTTTAAGATGACGAGTGGGTGGGTGTGGTGACCTGGGAGCCAGTACCCCTTATCATTCATTAGTGGCTCATTTAGACCCCCCAGTAAGCCAAGATCCTCACTCACAGAAGTCCCTGTTCTTTTCCCAGCACTTGAACTCGCAATCCAGGAGTGAAACAACTTGGCCTGGTTCCTACCATTCTCCCCTCTCCCCGAAAGTGCTCCCGTCCAGTGCGCCTCCTTTCTGTAACTTGCTCCCTAGACACCATCTTCCTCATCCCTCATAGTCCAAGGCAAAGCTTTTCTCATCTCCCCACCCACCGCTGACACTGGTTCTCCTGCTTCTGAGAACAGCAGTCCTTCGCTCTGGAGTCGGGGTTTTAAGCCCCCAAGAGCATACAAGTTCCAGAGGGCTGAATGCGTGCATGCACAGAGGTGCTTGGCCTACTGCAAGCATGTCTGGATGGAGGGGCTAAACGTTCCCACCGGTCAGCAGACCCTTCTGTCACACCCACTTCACTTCAGCCACAGAGGGCAGAGTCCTCCTCGAGGTCTGCCGTTGCTAACTCTCCACTCAGTACTGCATGCTCCCTGAAGAACAGTGACAGTCTGACTTCTCTGTACCCATGGGACTCATAATGAGATTTTACATGAGCTTGGGACGAAACTATGTTTGACTATTTAAAAAGATATTTACCTTCTAAAATATTAATCACATCATTTATAGGTGAGAACCAGAAATAGCTTAAATGTCCATCAACAAAGAAATGCCTGAGTTAATTATAAAGATGGTGAATGAAGCATCTTGTGGACATCAAAAGAAAGAATATGAGCAATGAGTAACAAGATAGAAAACTTATGAAGTGAAGTTAAGCAGAGAAAGTGGGTCATGGAAATGTCTACATATGTGGATGACAGCTGTAATTATCGGTGTGTATTGCATGCTAAGCACTTTATAAACATTATCCCATGTAATTCTTATGGCTTTGGAATTAGGTATGAACACCTCACTCACACATTTAAAAAGACAGATTTGCAGCAGGTAAGTCGCACGCTCTAATTGGTATGATATACAAGCATAACTCTAACCCAGGAAGCCTATGCCCGGACTTCTGTGCTCCCTGATGTCATCGTGGCAGCAAAATCAACTCTATAGGGAAAGCAATAGTCACAGTGAGACAAAAACTGAAAGCTAGAGAACCAGGCAGCGGGGGATGGGCACAGTGTTAATTGTCTTATCTGTCTTATCAATATTGTCTGAATGGTAATTTCATTCTTTGCGGGGGGGGGTGGGGGGGGGGGGGGGGGGGGGGGTGGGGGGGGTGAGTATTTGAGAAAATGCTGGTGATGGTACTAGTCACCACAGGATGGAAGAGATTCCAGAGACAGAATTCAGTTGCAAAGTATCTCTGAGAACTTGAGAAATCAATTCTTCAGTTAATGAAGACAATAAGCAAAGTGAGTTGTGAGTATGTGGAGGATGGATGGATGGATGGATGGATGGATGGATGGATGGATGGATGGATGAGTAGATGGGTGGATGGGTATGTGTGTGTGGATGGGTGGATGGGTGGATGGATGGATGGATGGATAGATGGGTGGGTGGGTGGGTGGATGGATGGATGGATGAATGGATGGATGGATGGATGGATGGGTGGGTAGGTGAGTGGATGAGTGGATGGGTGGATGAGTGGATGGGTGGATGAGTGGATGGATGGATGAGTGGGTGGATGGATGAGTGGGTGGATGGATGGATAGATGGATGGATGGGTGGATGAATGGGTGGGTAGATAAACCCTACAAATTACACAGGAAGTTTCCCTATGCTAACTGTTGGGGAAAATTACAGGCTGTTTCTTGGAATAGTACCCAAATCCTAAGTGTGTGTGTGTGTGTGTGTGTGTGTGTGTGTGTGTGTGTGTGTGTGTGTGTGTGTGTGTGTAGGACTTGGACGATAGTGGGAGAAGACAAGAGCCTTTGAGAAGCTGGAAATGTGAATGAAGGCCTTGGAGAAGAGGGCAGTGAGAGGAGATGGCCCAGATGTCTGCCTTCCTGATGTTATTGTGAAAGCCTGAATTTGTCCATTCTCTCAGCTCTGACCCATTCTAGCAAAGTGTGGGTCCTAGGTGGAGATCTTCAAAAAGCTCACAGAGTTCAAAAAGCTTCATAGCTCCAGCGCATGCCACCCACTCTGCCTCTGGGTCTGGCCTCACTCCCTTCACCTGGCAGGCTCTGGCTTCTGGCAGACAACTTATCATCTGGTAACTCTACCCCTACAGTCTCATTTCACCCACCCCCCAAGACACAGTGTGGGTGGCTCTTCCAGGATCTCCACTATATTATGCCTGCAGACCCTGAGTCTGGGTGAGGGAGTGAATGTTGCCTACATTCTCATCCTTAAGGAGCTGAGCCAAGACCCCAGAAAGGTTCAGTCTCCAAGTCTGCTCTTAAATCCCCATCTAGGTCCATTCTGCTACAACGGACCATCACAGCCTGACATGCACAATGAGCGGAAACTCAATGGTTCACACTTCTGAAAGCTGAAAAGCCAAGACCAAGAGGTTACATCTGACCAAGATGTTCCTGATACATTGGAAGATACCCTGTGAATGACAGAAGGGGGCAGACTATGTCTTTTCATAAGGAACCCATTTGTGAGGGCAGAGCCATCAAATCCTAAACTTCCATCTCCACCACACTGGGAACCACACCATCCCTCATTTTCCACACAGGTCAGATGAGATTAGGACCCAGCTCTCCTCCCTCTTGGAAGCGGCTTTAGGAGCTATTGAAATGATAGCCGTGGGCCCCTTTTATAGGAGATACAAGACTTGATGAGAAAAGATCCCACTTAGGGTCAAGTCTCTACTCCACAGCTGATTTCCCAGGTGACCATGAAAATGTTCACATCCCCACATCTGTTTTCTCACCTAGTAAGTAGGTGAGACAGCACTCACCAGTGAGGATTCAGAGAGCAAACCCCAGGGTCTTCTGCTCTCCTGAGCAGGTGGCTTTGGTAATAGAAGAAGCTCTCCACAAAGGCAGAATGCTATACCCAGGAGCCCACTGAGCACAGAGTGGTGGTGGTGGTGGTGGTGGTGGTGGTGGTGGTGGTGGTGGTGGGTGTGTCTGTGTCTGTGTCTGTGTGATTGTTTTTTAACCAAATAACCAAAGCGAAGGAAGATAAAGAGTCAAAGCCAAATTGGTATCAGGGAATGTGGTTTACATGGAAATGAGAAAATTCTGAATAAACAAACCTGGCCGAGCCAGGTGTGAAAAGTCAGCCCCTGCAGCACTGGTATTTTTAGCAGCCATTTTGCCTGCCATTCTGCCTTCATTTCCCTAACTCCCCGTGGGAACAGGCTTTGAAGATTTGACTGCCCGTCTCAAACAAAACCTCACTCAAGGCCGTAACCATGCCGCCATCCACGTTTCTCCACTTAGTGGGCATTTGCTCAGCACATGTGCACTGTGGCAAGTGAGTGCCAGGGAGACGGAGGTCACCTCATCCTGTTCCTTGCATCAAACAGCTCCTGATCTCATTCAGACAAACTGGCCTCCAGTTATAAAGAGAGCAGCAGCTGTCCTGAATAGGGCATAGGGCAGTATCTGTTAAAGGAGGACCAGAGGGGTGAGAGTGGGCCAGGGTCACAGCAGAAAAAAAGCAGTAGAAATCTTTGGGGGAAGAAAAGGAAGGAAAATTCCAGGAGATGGAGAGAGCCTTGGTGGAGGATGGGACATGGGGAGAGCCTTGGAGGAGGATAGGAGATGGGGAGAGCCTGGTGGAGGACAGAGATGGGGAGAGCCTGGTGGAGGACAGGAGATGGAGAGAGCTTCGGTGACAGGGAGAGCCTGGTGAAGGACCAGAGATGGGGAGAGCCTGGTGAAGGACCAGAGATGGGGAGAGCCTGGTGGAGGATGGGACATGGGGAGAGCCTTGGTGAAGGACCAGAGATAAGGAGAGCCTTGGTGACAGGGAGAGCCTGGTGGAGGATGGGAGATGGGGAGTGACTGGTGGAGGATGCACTGGAACACTGTTGAGAGAGAGGAACATGCTGAGAGAGAGAACTGGACAAGGAAGGGCTGCCACCGTCCGGCTTTGTGGGCTTGGCTTTGTGCACATGGGCGTGAGATTTGGTACCAGCTCCATGTCTAGCTTGCTGCTTATTATCCCTGCAATATCATGTCTATCCGTTCCATCAAGGCTCAGAGAAGGAAGGAGACAAATCTGAGGTTGTTAACCTTGACTTTGGGGTCCTGGCCCATCAAACAGATCTGTCCTCATCTGATGTCCTAGGGTGCTTATCAAGTTGAAGCTTTCTCAAAGGACCTTGGGCAAATTGCAGACGTAGTGTGAACATGTTAAGGCTGTAATGGAACTTAGATGAAGTTTAGGCTGAATGCCATAGGGTCAAATAACTAATAAACCTAATCTAAGTATAGAGGCCTTTGAGTAAAATCAGTATTGGAAAATAAACAACAAAATCTAACACTGCAGCCTTTGCTCCTCCTACTCCAGAAAAGACAACCCTGCCTGCCCCATGTGTTTTAAGACTGTGAAGATACAGGTGTGGTGGTCACGCCTGGAACCCCAGCACTCAGGAAAAGCTGAAGCGGGAGGATCTACAGTGGGAGGCCTACCTGGGTTATATCATGACTTCTCGGCCAGCCTGGGCTACATAGAGAAACTACCCAGTTGCTTTCTAAAACCCACCTGAAATTTGGCAATATCTACTGCAGATTTAAAATATTAGCCTAGAGAGATGACTTAGCTTGCATCTCCTTCAGAGAACCCAAGTTCAGTTCCCAGCACCCATGACAGGTAGCTCACGCCACTCCAACTCCAGGAGATCTGCTGCCCTCTTCTGACTTCTGAGTGCAACTACACTCACCTACACATACAGATTAGATAGATAGATAGATAGATAGATAGATAGATAGATAGATAGATAGATAGATAGATAGATAGATAGATAGATAAATAGACAGATAGATACATAGATACATAGATAGATAGATACATACATACATACATACATGATAGATAGATAGATAGATAGATAGATAGATAGATAGATAGATAGATAGATAGATGATAGATTCATATTCAAACTTTATTGTTTTATGAGTGTTTTGCCTGCATGTATTTCTGTGCACCATATGTATACCTGACACCCGAGGAAGCCAGAAGTAGGTGTTGGATCCCCTGGGACTAGAGTCACAGAGAGTTGTGAGCTGCCATGTGGGTGTGGAGAATTGAGTCCATGTCCAGAGTTCTAACTGCTGAGCCATCTCTCCAGCCCCTATACTCAAATTTTGAAAGTAATAAAAATAAACCTCTATTAAAATGTTTATACCAGGCCAGCATGACAGCTTAGCAGGAAAGGGCATTTGCTGCCAAGTCTGACCACTTGAGTTCCAGCTCGTGAACACACACAGTGGAAGGAGACAACGGACTTAGCAAAATAAAGTCTGACCTACACATGTGCACTGTGAGACACACACACACACACACACACACACACACACACACAATCAAAGTAATATGCTTATACCTATGGTCTAGTGATCCCATTTCTGGGACTCATCTAAACAATGAGCATTACAACTACTCATGTACAAATACACATTGTTTATACTATTTGTTTTATACATGTTTGCAATGTCAAAATGTTTAATCAAATTAAAAATATAGATCAAGGGGTTGCTGTTGGAGCTCCTACCCCAGCTTCCCCTCTGTGAGTGTCAGGTGTTACTGAAGGGTATTTTACCTGTAGTCTGTCTCTGTACCTCCCTCTATTGAACTAAAAAAATTATAATTTTTTAAAATACATGATATAGCAGGACACACAGTTAATCCCAACACTCAGGAGGCAGAGGTAGACAGATCTCCATGAGTTCCAGGCCAGCCTGGCCTACATAGTGAGTTCCAAGCCAGACAAGGGCTACAGAGTGTCTAATCATCATCACCACCACCATCATCACCATCACCGTCATCACCATCATCATCATTATCATATGTTGTAAAATCCTGGTGCCTATAAAGCCCCTGTCTACTCTGCCTATTAACTCAGTTCATCCAGACCATTGTTCAGCATACCACATGGACCCACATGAATAATATCTCTGATACAGTCCTTCACTTAATGATCATCAACTGACTATCCAATACAAGTGGGCCACTTAAACAGAATGAGGTCTGTAGCCAAGCTGTTGGAATGCCTTACTTCTCACCATCAGTTCTAAATCTGTTCAAGTCTCATTGCATAAGACAAACAAAGTGACCAGGCAGGCTTTGGAGTTCCCAGTGTTCCCAGGACTTCGAGAGTCAATATCTTCACTCCTCAGGCTTCTACATCTTCTGTGGCCCAGGCCAAGCCCAGGCCCAGAACCCAGGCCTTTAGCCCAGACTCTGCTTGGCAGAGATGATTTAGCAGGTGGGATCCACACTCAGCTCCAATAGGGCACAGCACAGGCTTCTGCTGCAGGCCATGAGGGTCCTCTAACCTTTGAGAGTCACAGCTCCTGGTGCAGTGTGGATGTCTGTCTTGCCTGTGACAAAGAACAGACAGAGTGAAATAATTTGACTGGCAAAACACAGCCAGCCTCCTGCCTCCCAGCAGCCATGAGGCTATTCAAAGCCAGAAGATTTTCATGAGTCCCTGACATAGAGGCCACAAAGCAGCAGGGACCCTGCAGAAAGCAAGTCCTGTGCAGTCAGGTGTGAAGGCCCCACCCAGGAGATACCGACAGGGAGAGCTTTGGGGAAGCAGCCCAGAATCCAGGCCTCCGTCTTCATCCACCGCTGTCAGCCCCCTGGGTTTTTTGTTGTTTTTGAAAAAGGGTCTCACTATGTAGCTCTTGCTGGCATGGAAGTCACTATGTAGACCAGGCTAGCCTGAAACTCACTGAGCTCTACCCTGTCTCTGCCTCCTGAGTGCTGTCGTACCCAGCTTTTGCTACTGCCCTTGTCCCTGTGTCCAGGAAACCCTCCCAGGTCTGTCTCCCTGAAGCAAAGACCTGAGGGAGGAGTACTTGGCCCTGCTTTTCTGCCCAAGCACAGAGCAAAGGATCCTTTGCTGGGTGCTTCTTGATGCCAGGCACTGGCTAGCAGCCCCATCTCAGCCACTGGGTCACCTTCAAAGGAACCCATAAGGGAAGGACCTCTGCCTCTGTTTTGCACATGAAGAGACCACAATGCCGTGGAGAATAACCAGCCTGAGTCACACAGCTGGAAAAGGGCAAAGCTGGGATTTGAACCCAGGTCTCCTGAGCACCTGAACCCTGCTCTTCCTCCTCAAATGAGCCCATTGACAATATCAAGGGCCTGCAATCACCGTGACTATCACTTGCCAGCTCTGTGACCCACATTCCTTCTTTTTTGTGACGCTCAACATTGCCGCTTGTGATGACTGTAAAACAAAATGAGGTGGGGGTAAGGAAGCTTGGCTGCCCACTAACTCCACAGCCACACTTCTTCACCACCCTTAGGAACCACCTTGGGGACTGCAGAGATGGCTCAGTGGTTAAGAGTGCTGGCTGCTCTTCCAAAGGACCCTCCAAAGGACCCAGGTTCAATTCCTAGCACCCACAGGGCAGCTCACAACTGTCTGTAACTCCAATTCCAGGGGATCTGATATCCTCACACAGACACAGATGCAGGCAAAACACCAATGCATATAAAAATTCTTTTAATTAAAAGAAGAAGAAGGAGGAGGAGGAGGAGAAGGAGAAGGAGAAGAAGGAGAAGAAGGAGAAGAAGGAGAAGGAGAAGAAGAAGAAGAAGAAGAAGAAGAAGAAGAAGAAGAAGAAGAAGAAGAAGAAGAAGAAGAAGAAGAAGAAGAAGAAGAATCAGCCAGGTGGTGGTGGTGCATGCCTTTAATCCTAGCTTGGGAGGCAGAGGCAAGAGGATCTCTGAGTTCGAGGGCAGCCTGGTCTACAGTGAGTTCCAGGACAGCCAGGGATACACAGAGAAACCCTGTCTCAAAAATTTTTTTTAATTTAATTTAAAAAAAAAAAAAAAGCATCACCTCTGTCCCCAGGGAAAGAGGCTGGACTTGTAGTGATGGCACTCCAGCTGCTGTTCTCTCGGGACTCTGGACAATGGAAGAGCAGAATTGCACCCAGCTTGTCCTGTCTATCCAAACACTGGTCAGCTGAGAAGCCAGCATGTAGTAAAGCCCCCGTAAATGCTGCTGGGTGAATGAACGTCCGTGGTGATGCAAAGAGCCAGGACCAAAAGACCTGACTCTGGCCCCAGCAGCAACTGACTTGTGGCCTTGGTCTCTCGCTGGCCCTGTCTGACCTCGGTGGCCGCACTCTATAAATGAGGGAAGTGAAGGGGGATGTTCAGCGGCTTGTCTCAGCTCTGACGCTGTCCCTCTGTGAAGGTTTGCAGCCCAGCCCCCTCTGTTCCTATCAAAGCTGAAGCTGTGTTATGGTCACATCTTAGGACAGACCAGGAATATCCAAAGCAAACGGCAGCTATGGGTCCTCTGGGCTACTGAGAATCGGACAGCAGCGTTCCAGGCCACGGAATCTTCTGGTCCACGCAACACAGACCCAAACCACGGAGTCTTCTGGTCC